ACAAGCTCTCTCCGACCCAACTTCGTATCCGACGAACCGGATTCACCAAAAGCACAAAAAGAAGACGAAGAAGACGAATACATCACCGAGTTGACTCGCCAGATGACTAACTATATGCTTCAAGACGATGAAAAGCATCAAAAGGTACCACCAACTCTCTTTTTTTTTAACTCTTCAGATTCGATTCTCTCTTTTTTTTCAATCTTTATTCTTTTTTGTTTCAGTCTTGTGGTGGTGGCTCTGGTTCGCCGCAATCGACTCTCTGGTCACCATTTGCTTCCGGTTTGAGCAGTCCAATTGCCCCTTCCCGTGAACCATCGCCGCCGTTAACTCCAGCGACGACGGTGGAGAAAATCATGACAAAGATTGATACAAAACCTGTAACGATCCCTTTTGAATCAAAACAAGCTCTAATCGATGACCAGATCCGATCCATTCAAGCAAACGTGAGCTCATCATGTTTTATCATTTATTATTTTACTCAGAATCTTTTTTTTTTAAAATTCGTCGGTTATAATATCAACGGTTCAGATTAAATCTAGTTTTGTTTCCACTGTTGGTTTTATATTTAAAAATGTTTTTCTATACAGTTCCAGAAGATCAAAAAGGAGAAAGAGAAAGAGAGGCAACGCAACGCTGACGTTTTGGGACAAAGAGCAAGGAACTACCACCACCTCCACCAACACCAGAGAGTCAGGTCAGGTGTGAAGGCGGTGTTCGTTGACGGGTCGGGTTCAAGAACCGGGTCGGGTGGAACCGGAGTGTTCTTACCACGTGGTCATGGTACCGTTGTGGAGTCACGCAAGAAATCAGGTTAGAGCCAATACTTAGTAGTGATTTCATATTAATTTATCATCATCACACTTTTTTTCTTCTTTCCGTTATAAATTTTTGTAATTGGGAATTAAAAAAAAAAAAAAAACAAATTTAGTGGTTTTCATGAAGGTTACGTATGATAAAGGACAAAAAATTTAAATAGAGATAGGATGACGTCATCTAACATTTTATCAAATACTTTGAGATTCCACTTTGTTTTTTTTGGGGGTTGACAAAGGTGGAATCTTGTATAATATTAAGATATTTCCTAATAATTTCATAATTATTTACTTAAGATATCAAATAATAAACAACTGAATTATATTAGATATAGAGTTTGTTTTGAATTAAGTTTTTTTTTTTTTTTTTTTGGTAAAAGTGTTTTGAATTAAGTTGTTCGACATGTATATGCTATGTTTAAATTAGAGTTTGTAAATCTTTGTGTGGTCGACGACAGGATAACATTTCATATCCCTAGCCATACACTTGCATAGTTGCAGAATCGAATTTTGATTTTGCACAAATTCCACTCTTGTTGTTGTGATAATATAATCTTCTTATCATTTGCTTGCTCAAATCGGTTTTTGTTTTGCTTTTTAACTAAATTTAAGCGTAAGGAGAATCTTAAAGAGTTCCGAAATGATTTAATTTTGTTATTAGTTGGGTTAAGGTTAGGTTGGGTTAAGTTTAGCTGATTGAGTATCAATCATCTAAAGCTCAAAACTCAATTATTAGGACAAAAATATATTATAATAAGAATCTTGCTTACATTATTACATTGTTTGACTGAGTAAGATTCCAAAGATTCCTTGTCACCAATTAATCTCTTTTTTTTTAAAAAAAAAAAGTTAAAGATTTTGTGTGGCTATTGGTTTGACAGATATACCCTCCCTAATTAGAATCTTGCCTCAACTCGTTGGTCCCCATTTGTCTCCCTTTCCCTATCAACAAAAATAAGCCATTTAGGTTTAGAAATCAATCTAAATCATTTATTTTTCTTATAAGACCCCACTAGTTTCATTCAATAAGTGGATTATAATCTAAGATAACCTAGATATTTATTTCATTTTGTGATTCTTTCTTTTGTCACCGTTCGATCATTGACAGTTACCCAAGGGCCAAGGCTATATATATAACCAAACCACATAGTGTAAGACTTTGTTTCTTTCTAAATATAGTATTATATTCGAATCCGGTATTAGATAGATACTTTAAAAATCTCATTCCCACATGTAATACTAACCAGGTTTATTGATGTTCTTTCAACAAAAACAAATTATACAACAATTTTATTTTTCAACTCTTAACCGTTACCCAATCTAGGAGTCGGTGAGCTTGTCAGCTAAATATCAACTACCATTTTTTTTTAGAAATCATTCTTGTTTTTTTTCGTCATATGATTTGACGTGGCTTAGATATTGGTGGGTGGTGGTGACAATTTACTATTTATTGTACTGTTTGTATTCAAATTTGTTGTCGTTCGATGAAACTGATGTCTCAACCAAACAGTTTTCTGAGTGGTTACTCTTAAATTACCAAACCGGTTTAAGTTTGGTTAGATGTAGTTTTGGTTTTGGTTTTGACTTTTGTGTATGAAATAAATTGGTTGCAGGATGTTCAACAGTTATAATACCAGCAAGAGTAGTTGAAGCCTTGAAAGTTCACTTTGACAAATTGGGTGTTCCTTCTACATTCTCTTCTGATATCCCTCCTTTTCATGGTACCAACCCCACCTATCTCTTTCCCTATTTAATTTCTTGTGTTCTAATTCTTTTGAGTAAAGTTATGATTTACAAGAATTAGTTATAGATATATAAATAACTAAGGGGTGGTTGACAGAAAAAAATAAAAATTAAGAAAATCTAATATAAAATTATAGGCTAACTATTTCAAAAAATTAAAGGAACTATCCAATTTTGTTTGGTTGAGTTAAAAAATTTAAAGTTTTCGGAGTTAAGAGTTTAAGATTTTGGGTTTAGAGGTTATAGTTTTTACAGAGTAAGTATTTTTAGTGTATCTTTTGATATATGATTCTTGAAATGCTTTATATAGATGCTTTGTTTTTTTTTTTTTGGTAAAATATATAGATGCTTTGTTGGTGTCCATGAAGAACAAAAACAACAAAAGTAACAAAAGTACTTCATCGTCTCGGGTACAAAGTGGATCACCGTACGTAATGGAGATGTCGGCCGAGAGCCACCAAGAACCACCGGCGGATTTGCCACAGGAATGGACGTACTGATAAAACATTGGCACATGCTCTTGGTTGCTGCAGTTATAGGTTTTCAAAAGGTAGGGTCTTTTCGGATTGAATATCTTCTAGTGGGTCAAAATAAAATAAAAAATAAAAAAATAAAGCTTTCAAAAACCATTATTTTTTTATTGGAAGTATATAGATTTTAAAAGTTGGTGATTTTTTTTTATTATTGTGATAAATTCAATAATTCTTGTGATAAAAGAACAATAAAATGTGCATATATATGTTCATATATATCACATGCCTATTGTAATAAGGGATTGTTTGTTTTTATGTAAGATTCCTTGTAATAAAAGCATTATGCATCTCGCTAGTGTAATAAAAAAGCCTTTATTTGATTATTACGTCTATCTACTTCGTATGATAATTACAAATTACGCTTATAGAGTTTATAGTCATGGTTTTAAGAATAACTATTAGTTTGGTATATTGATGTATATATTAGAAATTATTTTATTTGAATAAAAATAATTTGAAAGGACTAAATACGATTACAGTTTTGTGAATGAAAAAAAAAACCATTTTAAAAATTTTACTTTTGTTTGAACGCCTTTAGATGTATGTAAATGCGAAAAGATATGGCAAGCTCGTGGCCTCGTGGGTGGTCTTAAATCCGCCGACTTCTTCTCGTACAGTGCGACAATGTTTTTGACTTATTCTTCCTACTCTCACTTTATAAGGTTCATGTGCACTCACGTTTTGTCATTACTGATATTAGTTGTGAGCCATTGACGGTGGTGTACGTACATTGCTCCACTCTCCTCATGTGACTTCTCTTTCTTTTTTCTTTTCCTTACACCGACGAATCATGGGGTTTAGGTTTAACACGTATCTTCATGCTACAGTGATACTTATCAGAATAATTTTTGAAATTGTGTAAAATAGTTTCTTTTTGTGCATGTATCAACTAGAGTATAATAAAACTGAAAAATATCGTCCTACCTAGTAGAACCAATTGTATTTCAGTTATGGCCTTACAATCTAATTGTATGTATAAATATCATTGCCTATAGACGACAAAAAAAAAAACAATATGTATAATACATCAAAGCATGTCATCATGGTTTTTCAATCGTGTTTTTCTAAATACATATTTTTCACTGGTTGGTGAGATTTGGCAGTAAGGTCTATGAGCAAAATATGCATATTAAAAAAAGATATCAGGCATCAATTTTCTGCAAAAAATTCCATATTTTCTGTTACAAAACAAGCTTGTAAGAAAAAGAAAAAAAATACAAGCTTGTAAGATTATTATTTATTACTATTTTTGTAGTAAATTAGCTTGTAAGATTTGTTATAAAAGGTTTTATGATGTTTTACACGCAAACATTTGAAAGTCGTTGAAATTCCACGTTTTACATCGTAAAGTTGGACAGCAACTAAACGTTTTGAATATGCGTGAATGTGGAAACGGTATGGAATACATTTTAAACAGTATGGAGTACAAAACCAATTTATGTAAGGGTATGACTTATGAGCCGTATGACTTCGAGATCCACGAATTTCACTTTTTTTTTTTCTTTTCCTTTTGGTTCTACACAAATGCCTTCATTTTTTTTTCCCTTTTAGCTTTTCAATTTGAGATATTTCGATTATGTGGTGATTGTGAATTTGTGATCAATAAGAGATTGGGTGACTATAAAATTATAAATACGTCCGCTTTGGAACGGAAATACCCGTTTAGTTATCAATAAGACGAGTGATTGGAACGAACATTTTAAATTGATCGTTAATTGTTTCAGGAAGCTAATTTAATTTATTAAACTTTTGGATTTTTTTGGGGAATTTCCTAACAACTATTACGAGATGAGAGATTGGAAGTGTTACACTTTTACATATAAGATGTCATTTCCTTGTTTAAATCGCTTGTTATCAATAAAAAAATTCAACCACTAGTTTCAAAAGGACAATCTTTTCTAAGCACCCTAATTCTTATATGATTCTAAGTCTGCCGTTAGAAGGTATATGTTGTGTAACCAACAAGAACTTGATGTCCTTATATATGTATGTTCAATATTTTTTTTGTTTTGCGGTTAACTCGTTGTTTTGGATCAGAAAAATTAACTCATCAAAAAGTATAACCATTTGAGAAGAAACACATTAAAATCTATATAAGATAGATTGACTTCAAACCAAAGATGAAATCACTCGCGAAATAAATAAGACTAATCCCAATATCAGACAAACGTCCTTACAAGCGCATTCAACCTGATAAATGAAAAATCATAGAAATTCCATACATTAATTTTGTATTAATATATTTTTCATCTTTTAAAATCTATTATTAGACTTCTTAGAAATTGACGACCCAAACCAATTGTATATATCCCTATAGGCCCAATGATATCTTTGAATCCTTCTGGCTTATATCCAAACCAGTTTTACCCCTTGTTCTAAAAATCGGCCGCCTAGCCGCCTAGGCGGCCGCCTAGGCGCTGATCGGGTGGGGACCGCGGCGATTTTGTCCAAATCGGTAAAAAAAATCAGTGATCCGATTTTTGTCCCCCTAGACCGCCTAGGCGTCCGCCTAGCCCGCCTAGACGGCGCCTAGCCCAATTTTTTTTTTTTTTTTTTACTTTTTTTTTTTTTTTTAGATCTAAAATTCAAAACGTCTCACTTATATTCATAATTTTTTATAAAAATCATAAATTTGACCTTAAATTCTTGTTTTCATGTGTTTAATGCAATTTTAAAAACAAAATTATATAAATTTCTTATTTATAATGGATTAATATATTTTTAAAACATTAAATAGCCCTAAAACTAATCCCCGATTAATCCCCGTGTAATCTCCGATTTTCTTGCTAGGCGCTAGGCGCACCCTCACCGCCCGACTAGCGCCTAGCGATTTTTTGAACACGGGTTTTACCTAAAAAACTGCTTAATGTTTAGGATCTGATAAAATCAAAGCAAACAAATCAAATAAAACCGATAATATAGAGAGGAAAAAATCTTAATTTTTCATTTCAAAGAGTGGCATCAAGTCTTAGTCCTTACTAATCGCAACCTCTTCCCGCAAACTCTGAATTCATCAATAACATCGTTCTCTAATAAAGAAAAAAAAATTAGAATCCAGAAACTATTATGCGGATAGATCAACGTAACGCGTATGATTACTAGTTGATTAATTTGACCAGCTGACGTCCTGACCTTACACAATTATACATTAGACATCAAAATAAAATTAGGTTAAAGAACTTCCAATATATCATATCGTACTCATCTAAAAATCCAAAAACGTGATAAATTTTATTTTCGTCATTTATTTCAACGGGAAACAAGAAAAACAAACGATCAAGACAACAAGCACTATGTAAAAAAAAAAAAAAATCAACAATGTGATTGAACCTCGGTGTGACTGTTACTGCTAGTGTTCCTAAAAGCCCTACTTCCAAAAATCATAAACCCTAATCCAAAACCAGCCATTGCAGCCAAGAAGACTCCTCCATTGAACGACATCACAGCCAACATGACCAAATAAGACAAACCAGCCCTCACGGTGTAAACCAAAGTCTGAACTAGCCCGCCCCCAAAGCTAGCCGGACCGGATTTCATGAAACCGCACCGCGATAGCCACTCCGAGACAGCTGAAAGAGCAAAGATGGCTGCGAGACAGGCCCAATACATTTTTAGACTGGTCCCTGGCCAGCCGTCGAATAGAACCTCCGTGTTTTTTCCCCAAAAGAAAGTCATATGCATCATGCCACCGTGACGGCGGCGATGTTGGAAGAACGATGATGGTGAAGGTGCCGGAGCTGCCGGAGAAGATCCGCTCATGCCGTTCATTGTTTAGAGATATTCTTAACGTGCGATGTGAAGATTTTGTTGTTGTTGTGTACTTGTGTGTGTGGGGGTATTTATAAGGGTTTTGTTTTTGGGTTGGAGTTTGGTGTGTAGTACAATGTACATTTTCACAACAATAATGCGATAATTGTGATTTTATTTGAGTTTAAAATTGTACTTCAAAGATATTTAGTTGAGATTATGTCCAAAGATTTTTTCTTTTAAGTCTAAAAATTGAAAATTTAAATTATCCAAAGCTGAAGAAATTTAGAATCTTTTATTGTTTTTGACTTTGAGACTGTGATTTCGTCTGGTTTCTAGCTTTACTGTTAAACGGAAAAAAATTCTTAATATTTGTTACTAATATTTAAAGTGTGCAGAACAAAACAAACCTGAAAAAAAAAAAAATTAAGTAAATAACATATTTTCTAGGTTTAATAGAAAGTTCTGTTTATGGGCTGCTCAATTGTTTTAGGAACACTGGTATTTATGTGGGCTGAGAAAAAAATAATTCAGAGTAATGAATGACACCTTTCTTTAAACAAGCCCAAAGTCAATAACCCTCAAACGGTATTAGACGTAATCGTTCGCCTCAATGAGTTTCGTCAACGTTATGTTTACGATGTATTTATGGAAAGTCCATATAATACGTCTCTTTTAAGACCTCACATCAAATATCTTCTTCTTCTTCTTTCTTTTTTTTTCCCTTTTTTCTTTGTTCTTTTCTTCTGCTATCTGATCGTAATCAAGGGTTTTTTTTTTTTTGGGGGTTTTCCTTTATTCAATCATAGTTAAGTTTTAAGCTAATCAATCAATCAGATATCTCTGCATCAATATTTGGCAAAGCTCCAATGTTTTTTTTTTGTTTTACAGTAGATATAAAGTTTGAATCTATTAGATTTGTTTTGTAAGCTAACATACAATTTTTCATGTTAACTGGCAGAACATACAATTTGTCTAAACATCTTTTGAGGAAGGAAACAAATAATTTATAAGAAGATCCAATAGCCGTTAGATTTTTCAACACGGAAACAATAGTCCAATCGATAAATCTCCATCGTCGTGTTATTAATGTTTCTAAACTAGAGCCTTGAATGGAGGACATGTAAAAGGCGGAATTTTAGCGGTTCCTTATTAATGTTATCATTCAACAAACCTTATAATAGCACATCAACATCATGTTTTAATAAAAAATAATAAATGAATCACATGCAGTTCTTCGCAATGAAAATAAGAAATGCACCAAGAATAAGCATAAAATTCGGTGTGTTTACGTACATTTCATTTCAAAACAAATTTGACTGAAACATTTCTTTTCAAAACAAAAAAAATTGATATGTTAAAAAACATTTTTTAAAAATTTGATAAACTAATATATTTATATTGCATATCATTTTTCATCATTCAAGCATTGTTCTGCATCGCTAATCCTACATTAACTGTATTTTCTTGCACATATCGTTTTACTCAATTTATGTGTCCAACGTTACCCGATATGCTGTCTCCATTCAAAATCTTAATATATTCATGAGAAAAAGTAGAAATAGTTTTAAGCTAACACATATATTAACTTGTAAATGACATGATAGTAAAATTAACACATTTATTGATTGTCTATCTCAATCCTATACAAACCAAAATTGATTTAGCAAATTCTGAGAATTCCATGAATGGATTATGATAATTAATTGTAAATCAAGAAGCCGAAAAAAGAGTGTAAATTAAGAACTTAATATAGTAATTAATTAACTAAAATTGGGATTTTAGAAGGACATGCAATAATTCTCTCTTTTTACTTTCTAAAAATTACCTTTTATGTACGAGTACGACATAAAGTTTGACAAGTCAAAAAACAAGTTGTACTGTACTACATTAACATCGATACTCTCTTATCTCCACAGAAACCGAAATTTCATTTTTAAAAAGGAATCTCAAATAAATGCCATTAAATACCAAACAACCAATTTCTTACATTTTTCCAATCCTCCCAACCAAAACACAAGAGCCAAGAACAAAGAAACCATGGATCATGATCACATGCATGGCATGCCTCCACCATCATCCATGATGAACAATGGATCGATGAACGGAGGAGGAGGACAACACCACATGAAGATGATGATGCACATGACATTCTTTTGGGGCAAGAACACGGAGGTTCTCTTCTCCGGTTGGCCCGGAACAAGCTCCGGCATGTATGCTCTTTGTCTCATCTTTGTCTTCTTCCTCGCCGTCCTCACCGAATGGCTTGCTCATTCCTCCATCCTCCGTGGCTCCACCGGAGATTCGGCTAATCGAGCCGCCGGGCTAATCCAAACCGCCGTGTATACCCTCCGTACCGGTCTTGCCTATCTAGTCATGCTCGCCGTCATGTCGTTTAACGCCGGTGTGTTTCTCGTCGCTCTCGCCGGTCATGCCGTTGGTTTCATGTTGTTCGGAAGCCAAACTTTCCGGAATACCTCCGATGACCGGAAAACTAACTATGTTCCTCCTTCAGGTTGTGCTTGTTGATGATAATATTATGATTTATATATATGTATGGATTCATGCTTGTGGTTCAAATTAAAGATCTAGGGTTTGTAGTTTTCTTGGTTATTTTGTGGATTTGTTCTTGAGGTTCATGTGTGTGAATGTGAGGAGGAGAAATATTTGATATTTTCTATTTGTTTTGCTTTAAAATATTTTGTTTTATTCTGCTGGCTAATGGTGAAAGCTGAATATACAGTTTACTACTTTTGGACACCAATTTGTTTTTTTTCTCCCAGATTTTCATATACAATTTTCTTATCTCAACTTTGAAGTTTATAGATGTGTTTACAAAATTTCTTTCAAAATGTAAATAAGAGGTAAAGATATATCTTCCTATCGAATACACCCAAATTCAATACATAGGTTACAACTATCGTTTTCTCACTATAGTCTCGTGAGTCGTGACCTCGCTGACACGGCGACACATATAGTCAAGAGTTTTTTTTTTTTTGGGGGCAAAGATCATCAAACTCTAAAGCTCAGTTTCTCTTATGTTTGACCTTGCAAAAGACATAGTTTCTGAGTGGGCCTTCTCCTCATAATTCATCATGGGCCTCTTCATTCCAGAAAGCCCAAACACATCTAACCAAGTAACCTATCGATTCATAAATCACAGTCCCAAACATTTGTTGGAGAGCTTTTTTTTTTTTTTTTTTTGTTCGAACAGATGTTGGAGAGCTATTTAAACTACAACTTTTATGTATAGTATCTTCAGGTCTTAAATTCCTATGTTCTTCATGAAAGTTAAGTGCTATCTATATGTGGAGCAGAGAGCAGCATACTGATCAAGCAAGTCCTAATCTTCTGCCACAGGTAAATCCGGTCCGTTCCATATAGAGTTAGCGTCTGTTCCAAGCAAGTGAATGTCTTTGAACCCTTTGGTTACTTGGTCCAGATTTTCTTTGTTTTCGGGACCAACATTGTTTTGGCTGATTAATTAATACCATTTTAATCTATTTTGTATGCCAAATTGAATTGTAATGTAGTGGCCTCCATATCTTTGGTGAGGCGTTTTCTTCACATTCAAGGAACTGCGAATGCTTCTGATCAAGAATTGGTATGATCTATTCATGAAAGGTTCTAAAACTAAGCGAAACATTATGTTTACATCTTTCTCACTATAATTTTAGTAGGATTTTTATGTGCATGTAAGCATCTAACGATGAGCTATTCTTTGATTCTTTCTGACGATTGACTTTGCGAGAACAATAAGCGATACAGTCTTTGAGCAATAAACAAACCACAAAGAAAACAGAAGAATGTAATGAAGAATACCCAGAGAATTGAAGCAATATAGAACAAACAAAGAGATTATGCATATTATTTGGAGCGAAGTAGCCTCATTCCGATGACTTAGATATTATCTCAAGCCAAATTATCACAAAATCAATCACTTTTTAATCGAGAAAAAGACGTTACTTCCTTCCCAAGCATCTGTTAATGCTAACTATGACGAATGAAGACAATGACAAAAGACTGTCCTTTTCATCAAACGATACTTAACAAGATATGCTTGAACGCTAAAAGCCTTTATTATTTCTCTATTGTTCTTAGAAAGAATGAATAGTTTTATTTGAATCAGATAATCAAAACATAAATTTCTCCATGAGCTATTCAAACAAAAACCTTAAGCTATACCATATCTAAACAAATTAACTGTAGCAGAGTCATCATCTCACGACACACTTATAAATAAAGAAAAGTTAACTACGGTATCTTTTTCTTCAAGAATGTTGATAAGCTCTGAAGCTTATCGAAGTTGAATCGAAGTATCGAACAGAAAAAAAAAGAGGGAGAGAAGTATTGCGCCGTTAATGGCGGAGAGGAAGAGATAAAAAGAGAATTCATTTGATAAGATAATTGATCATTCATAAGATAAAGCCCTAATAATGCGGAATCAGTGCTTAAATACACCAACAAGCCTAAAACGATATAGTTCTAAAGTAAAGATAGTAGCTAAACCCCTCTCTCATAGAGTCTTCTTCCTTGTCTTCGACACTTGGTCAACACCAGCTTCTTCCTTCTTCTTTATGAAGGTAATGAGAATCCATAACCTATCATTCTTCTACTAGAATTGAACACTCAAAACATAACTAGCATTAACTAGTTTGGGACGTAGGCATTGAGTCCAAGATGGCTGCAATCTTGCTTCCAGGAGACCTACGCAAGAGATGGCGATAAGGCTTGAGCTTTCTCACCAAATCATAAAACAGATCAGCCGTAAGAATTTCCTCCGTTAATTCCAGTGCGTTGCACACCACGAAATTCCCGTACTCACTCCTCGCCAACTTCATCAACATCTCTCTCTTGCACGCCAAAAGATCCATAACCACTAGTTCCATTACTGAGTCCCCCACCTCCAAAAGCCGCTCCACGATGTAGCTTCCATACTTTTTAAACGAGAGTTCGACGCAGTGGCCACATAGATTATCAGCGATGTTACGCGTGCAGCGGTAGTCACGTAGTTTAAGCACATGTTGGACCACAAAGTTCCCATAAGCATCGTTGCTTAGCAAAAGAGCGTTGTTCGCGACTATGTCCAGGAGCTGGTTTCTGTAGTAAGGATCGTCCAAGTCGGTTATGATTTCGTTGAGGGCGATGTAACCGTGTTTGTCACGCGCCAAGTAAAGCGCGTATCGGAGAATGTGCTCATACATCAACTCTCTCTTGTCCTGTTGGAAAACTCTCATTCCCTTTATCGCCACGTAGGACGCGTACTTATCGGTCATCACATCTAGGAAGAGGCGCATGATAGCCGCGAAGAAGAAGACGTCCACGTCATCTGACATCCCCATGAGTCTCTGTATGCTTTTGGAGCCGTACTGATTTCTTGCGATGACCATGAAGTAACGGCAGTCAGACGTCAAAGAAGACGCCATCCACATAAGCGTTCTCACGTCTAACACTGAGATCACTTCTTTAAAGCGAGGCACATCTTCGCTGCTAGTCATAAAGTTGAATAGCCAGTGCAAATCCAACTCCGGATCACCGCAGTGGAATAAGGAATCGCCGCCTCGTGAAGGAGGAGGAGGAATCGCCGGAGGCTCCTCATTCATGATTTCTCTTTCGGGGCCAAAACGGAGTTCGTGTAAAGCATTGAATATTGTCGACATTGAAAAGGGATTGGTGTTTGCCATAGTGTTACGTCGATCTACAGAATTACTCTCGAAAGTCAGAAGTAACAAGAATTTTTGATGTGGGTGATTTTGGAGAATGCGGGAGATTTTAGTGTTGTTGTGATGCCTATATATAATACTAGAGGTTGGAAATTCTATCGAGTATATATCGCTAGGGGATATATTACTAGTTTCCTTTTTACTTTGTTTTCTAACTAATTAATAATATCCAAATATTATTAATAAATCATAACAAGGATTTTTTTTTTACTAACACTTTTATTTCTCAAACATCTAAAAATTATACAAAAATAATAAGATATATAAAAACAATATTAAGATTTTGTATATATCTTAATAACGTTTTTATAATTATCTACAAAATATTATCTTTTAAAACAAAATCTAATAAGGAATTCTACTAAGAAATTCGTTTTAAATATTTTAGCAATTAAAAAAAGAAATTTATCCAAAAAAAAATCTTTTAATCTAATCCAAATCAATTCAAAAAATTATAATAAATATAACTAAACTATAATTCCTTCTATATATACATTACTTATTTCAAACATATGGTATAAAAACATTCTATGATCCACCTATATATGCCACAACATTATTTCATAAAAATTTCGAAAACATGATTCCATACATGGCGTAAAATAGAACGTAGTTAAATATTAGTATTTGTTAAGTCTGGTGAAAAAAACATAAAGAATTGTTATACTATAAGTAGATGAAATATGATATTAAGTTATTAACTATTAAGAGTTAGAATAATTAAATACATGGAAGTGGAACCAATGCAACTTACTGTTTCAAAAAACAAAAATTTCGACCCAGGCCCGTTTGTATACTATAAGGCCCAAAATACTTGTATGTTTGATCGCAAAAGTGGTCTAAAACATTTAATACTACTGTAGAATTAAAGACAACTGTACCTAAAACCAAAAGTCTCTAGCTTTGTCCGCAAGTCAAAAACTTTTCCTCCTCTCCGTCATGCCCACAATCGCCCTCAACGGCCAGCTTATCGCGGCGCCGATAGTTTACACCACCGCTTCTTCTTATCTCTCTTCTCGCCGTCAATATTATCCCTTATCTTCCTCTCGCGAACTTCGTTTCAACGCATCTTCTTCCTCTCGCTTCAAATCCTTAACTTGCTCAGCAAACTTACCTACTCGGAAGAAGATCGAGCCTTCCTCCAACAATGTTCTTCTTAACTCATTTTCGAAATCTCTCGTCGTCTGTTCCTCCGCTAAGCCGAAGGATTTGTCCAATGGTAATCTCCGTAAGTCACTTGGGATATCTCTTGTCGTCACCTCTGTTTCCTCCACCGCGTCTCTGTTTCTGCCACGACTCTTTTCTCTTCTGTCGATTCTAAGAGGCGGCGGAGGAGGAGGAGGAGGTGGAGGAGGAGGGAATTTCGGTGGAGGTGGAGATGGCGGATTTTGGAGGAAATTGTTTTCTCTGGGAGTACCAGTGGCTGTCGCCGACGAAGAACAGTCACCGGATTGGGATTCTCACGGTTTACCTGCGAACATTGTTGTACAGTTTAACAAGCTAAGTGGTTTTAAAAAGTATAAAATCTCAGATATTATCTTCTTTGATCGACGAAGAAAAGCCACCGTTGAAACAGAGGATTCTTTCTTCGAGATGGTATCGATTCAAGAAGGAGGAGTTTACACAAAAGCTCAGTTACAGAAGGAGTTAGAAACCCTAACTACTTGCGGATGGTTTGAGAAAGTCGATTTCGAAGGGAAGACGAAACCTGACGGAACCCTAGGTGTTACAATCTCTTTCGCAGAGAGCATGTGGCAAGGCGCGGAGAGGTTTCGATGCATCAACGTAGGGTTAATGACACAACCGAAACCGGTAAAGATTGATTCAGACATGACAGAAAAAGAGATGATTGAGTACTTGAGAAGTCAAGAGAAGGAATATAAGCAGAGGATTAAGAAAGCGAGGCCGTGTTTACTTCCGGGATCGATTCAACGAGAGGCGATGCTTATGCTAAGGGATCAAAGGAGTTTAAGTGCGAGGCTTTTGCATAAGGTTAAAGAACGAGTTCTTAAATGGTACCAAGACCAAGGGTATAGTTATGCTAATGTTGTGAATTTTGGGAACTTGAACAGTAAGGAACTTGTTTTTGAAGTTATGGAAGGAGATATAACACAGTTGGTTATTCAGTTTCAAGATAAGCTTGGTAATGTAGTTGAAGGTAACACACAGATTCCTGTCGTGCGCAGACAAATTCCAAAACAGGTTCTGTCTCTTGACTTTATTCACCTCTTGTATCTTGAGTTGAAATCAAGAACTTGCTTTAGAGGTTTCAGATCAGAAATGTAACTTTTGAAAATAATATATTGTTTGTTTGGTTAACAGTTACGTCCAGGTCATGTGCTCAACATGAAAGTTGCGAACGAAGCTGTGAGGAACATTCATTCTTTAGGATTGTTCTCTAACATCGAGATCATGCCAGTTCCAGATGAGAAAAAGGAAGGAGGTGTAATTGTTGAGGTCAAGCTTCAGGAGGCAGATCAGAAATCTGTAGATGTTAGTGCAGATTGGAGTATTGTTCCTGGTCCTAGAGGATTTCCTTCATTGGTATGTGCTGCTGTATATGTTCATTGTCTACTAAACTTGGAACTATTTAAAGGTTTCAATTTCCACTGAATTTTCTATATGTCCATTGTTTATCTTGCGTTTATTAGGCTTCGTTTCAGCCAAGCGGGACTGTTTCTTTCGAACATCGAAACATCAAGGGTCTTAATCGATCTCTCATTGGTTCAGTAACCACTAGTAACTTCTTGAATCCTGAGGTACACTCACTTTCTATATGCTTTTGATACATATCTGTTTCAAATTGTGGTTTGATAGCATCCATATATATATACACTTCGTTTTGCCCGCAGGATGATCTTACGTTTAAGCTTGAGTATGTACACCCATATCTAGACGGTGTTAACAATCCTAGAAACCGTACCTTCAAAACGAGTATCTTCAACAGTAGTAAACTTAGCCCAGTGTTCACTGGAGGCCCTGGATTTGAGGAAGCAGTGGCTCCAATCTTGGTGGATCGAGCTGGTGTGAAAGCTACTATAACTGAGGTAACTAAGTCCCTTATGATCAACTTGTTTTCTTCTCCCACAAGAATCTAAACGATCTAGGTTTTTTTTACGCGCAGGACTTCACACGTCAGAGTAAATTAACATATGGAGTTGTGTTGGAAGAGATAACAACTAGAGATGAAAACGGGAAAATCTCTCCAAATGGTCAGGTTTTACTACCTAATGGAGGAATCAATGTTAATGGACCTCCAACAACTCTCAGTGGTACTGGTATTGATCGTGTAGCCTTTCTACAAGGTAATATAACCCAAGACAACACCAAGTTTGTGAATGGAGCTATTGTTGGAGATAGGAAGATATTTCAGGTGGATCAAGGCTTAGGTATAGGAAGCAATTCCCCACTCTTCAACCGACATCAACTAACTTTAACAAAATTCATTCCACTGAGACAAGTAGAAGAAGGTCCCGGTAAACCGCAACCACCAGTTCTAGTTCTCCATAGCCATTACGCTGGATGTGTAGGTGATCTACCAGGCTATGATGCTTTTGCTCTTGGAGGTCCTAACTCTGTTCGAGGCTACACTAAGGGAGAGCTTGGTGCAGCTAGAAACATTGTCGAGGTAAGTATGATTCCAAAACTCATTCAAATTGTTTTAAAACTAATTCTAATGGTGTTTTTGGTGTTAAAATTTGTATAGGTTGGTGCTGAGGTTAGAGTACCTATAAAGAACACACAAGTGTATGCATTTGCTGAGCATGGAAACGATTTGGGAAGCTCAAAGGATGTGAAAGGAAACCCGACCGCAGCTTTCAGAAGAAAGGGACATGGTTCATCATATGGTGTGGGTGTGAAACTTGGTCAGATACGAGCTGAATATGCTGTTGATCACAATTGTGGAACCGGTGCTCTGTCTCTTCAGTTCGGAGAAAGATATTAAGGATTAAGTTGATGTCTTGCAAAATAATGTGTCTTTTGTTACACATAGGTTTGAGACTTGATCATAAAGAAATAGATTTTTTTATTCTGTAACTTGTTCGTCCATATCCGCTAGTTTTTAAGATAAATACTTTTTAAAACTGTAACAAAAATAGATAGAAACTGCAATATTTTGTGTTTGATATGTTAGAATCGAATTTGGATCATTAAAACGGAAATAAATTGACAAACTTCTTTGATAAACTCTGAAGCTTATCGAAGTTGAATCGAACAGAAAGAAAAAAAGGGAGAAAGTATTGCCCCGTTAATGGCGAGAGGAAGAGATAAGAGAGAATTCATTTGATAAAATAATTGATCATTCATAAGATAAAACCCTAATAATGCGGAATCAGTGCTTACATACACCAACAAGCCTAAAACGACATAGTTCTAAAGTAAAGATAGTAGCTAAAACCCTCTCTCACAACTAGAGTCTTTCTTCCTTGTCTCCTTCTTCGACACTTAGTCAACACCAGCTTCTTTCTTCTTCTCTATGAAGGTAATGAGAATCCATTTATAAAAGACCAAAACCAAAAATTGAACACTCAAAACATAACTAGCATTAACTAGTTTGGGACATGCATTGAGTCCAAGATGGCTGCAATCTTGCTTCCAGGAGACCTATGCAAGAGATGGCGATAAGGCATGAGCTTTCTCACCAAACCACAATACAGATCAGCCGTAAGAATTTCATTCGTTAATCCCAGTGCCTTGCACACCACGAAATTCCCGTACTCACTCCTCGCCAACCTCATCAACATCTCTCTCTTGCACGCCAAAAGATCCATAACCACTAGTTCCATTACTGAGTCCCCCACCTCCAAAAGCCGCTCCACGATGTAGCTTCCATACTTTTTAAACGAGAGTTCGACGCAGTGGCCACGTAGATTATCAGCGATGTTACGCGTGCAGCGGTAGTCACGTAGTTTAAGCACATGTTGGACCACAAAGTTCCCATAAGCATCGTTGCTTAGCAAAAGAGCGTTGTTCGCGACTATGTCCAGGAGCTGGTTTCTGTAGTCAGGATCGTCCAAGTCGGTTATGATTTCGTTGAGGGCGATGCAACCGTGTTTGTCACGCGCCAAGTAAAGCGCGTATCGGAGAATGTGCTCATACATCAACTCTCTCTTGTCCTGTTGGAAAACTCTCATTCCCTTTATCGCCACGTAGGACGCGTACTTATCGGTCATCACATCTAGGAAGAGGCGCATGATAGCCGCGAAGAAGAAGACGTCCACGTCATCTGACATCCCCATGAGTCTCTCAGTCTCTGTATGCTTTTGGAGCCGTATTGATTTCTTGCGATGACCATGAAGTAACGGGAGTCAGACGTCAAAGAAGACGCCATACACATAAGCGTTCTCATGTCTAACACTGAGATCACTTTTTTAAAGCGAGGCACATCTTCGCTGCTAGTCATAAAGTTGAATAGCCAGTGCAAATCCAACTCCGGATCACCGCAGTGGAATAAGGAATCGCCGCCTCGTGAAGGAGGAGGAGGAATCGCCGGAGGCTCCTCATTCATGATTTCTCTTGCGGGGCCAAAACGGAGTTCGTGTAAAGCATTGAATATTGTCGACATTGAAAAGTGATTGGTGTTTGCCATTGTGTTACGTCGATCTACAGAATTACTCTCGAAAGTCAGAAGTAACATGGATTTTTGTTGTGTGATTTTGGAGAATGCGGGAGATTTTAGTGTTGTTGTGATGCCTATATATAATAATACTAGAGGTTTTCGTTTCTCCCAAAAGGAATTGGAAATTCTTAGTAATATCTTAATCAAAAATAATATGTATATCTCACTAATTTCCTTTTTACTTTGTTTTCTAACTGATTAATAATATCCAAATACTTTTTTTAATTGATAGTATAAAAAAACTGTAATTCCGTGAGGAAATAATTGTGAACAAATTTCATTAAAACCACAAAACAATAACCATAACACAACATACTGAAAAACAAAGAAAGAGCCGTTCCTCACAAAAGAGACCCTTTCCCAACTTATTTCTCTAAGAACAAAAAGCAATATGAATAACACATGAAACCAAACCCACCACTTTGTAGTATAATAGCACCATTATATAACTCAACAGCTGAAAACTCGTTTAACTCAAAACCGCGTCTGTGTTTTCTTGTGCGTTTTAGTTTTTGGGGACGTTGAGCCTTAGTCGGAAATCTTCTTCCATGAGAGGAAGTCCTTCTCTGAGCTTCACCTTTGGCTCCCAACCCAGCACTTCTTTGGCCTTACTAATGTCTGGTTTCCTCTGTCTTGGATCGTCCGGTGTGTTCTCCACCATCTTTATCTCTATGCTTGGGTTAATAAGCTGCGTTTCATATAAATAAAACACACATTAAGGAACTAAAACATGATATAAACGCAGGCTTTATCACAGCGTTTAGAGTAAACCGGCTCTAACCTCCTTAACCGTCTCAGCAAGTTCCACCATTGTGAATTCACCTGAGTAACAGAGAGATTTTAGAAAGAAGCGATTGCGGTTCTAGATTAGAGGTGCTCAATCTGGTTCAAATGAAACAAAAACCACACTCTAGTTATAGGGGTTAAGGTAAATGTTGGAATGGAAAGGCGTACCTGGGTTACCGATGTTGATAGGGCCAGTATCATCGCCTTCCATAAGACGGATAAGTCCATCCACCATGTCGGAGACATAACAGAAACTGCGGGTCTGTGTCCCCGGTTTCTGAACTGTCAATGCCTCACCTCTACAACACATTCATGGAAAAAACTAAGCAGAGATGAAACACAACTTGGCTTCGATGAAGTTGAGAGAGCAAATGACTTTACCTGAGTGCTTGAGCAATGAAGTTGCTCACGACACGCCCATCATCAATGTTCATTCGAGGACCATACGTGTTGAAGATTCTAGCAATGCGGATTTCTACAAGTAACCAACGGACCAATGAGTATCTTAAGGAATCACGGGATAAAGAAAAAAGTGAAGCAGTGAGTTTAGGGAAGTACAAAACTGACCAATGCCGTGTTGTCTGTGGTAGTCAAACATCAAGGTCTCGGCTACACGCTTGCCTTCGTCATAGCAACTCCGAACCCCTTTACATAATAACAACCAGGTTAAGTTTACAAAGCTGTTAAAACCGAAATGCAAGAATGTTCCTCTATAAGATGAGAACATTTGAAATTTACCAATTGGGTTGACATTTCCCCAGTAGCTCTCTGGTTGAGGGTGAATGAGAGGATCTCCATACACTTCAGAGGTTGAGGTGAGTAAAATTCTGTTTTGAGAAGAACAAACGTTAGTTTCAAAGCTGAGCATTTAAAAGAAGGATGTGATGAAAAAATAGGAAGCAGAATATGTCCTCAACCTTGCTCCAACACGCTTGGCAAGACCGAGCATGTTGAGTGTACCGATCACATTTGTCTTGATTGTCTGCAGAAACAGATTATATATCAGAAAACTAATGCTTCCTTCTGATGATATTAAAGTGATATTCTACACAAACCTTAACAGGGTTGTACTTGTAGAAGATAGGAGAGGCAGGACAAGCAAGATGGTAAATCCGATCAACCTCGATCAACAAAGGCTCCGTAACATCTATATAAAGCCCAAAACCAAATAGAGATCACGATGAGATGGATCTCGTTGATATAAACAAGAAGACGCTTAACAACAAACTGAGAAACTCGAGACTATACCGTGACGAATAAGCTCAAACCTCGGGTGACCGATCCACTTCTTGAGGTTTTCTTTTGATCCAGTGAAATAGTTATCAGCAACAATCACCTGGAGTATAAAACCAAACATTCAAAAAATGATCAAACTTGACAAAACATAAAGCATATCTCAATTTTTATTGAGCGTAGACATATACAAACCTCATTCTTCTCATTTTCCATAAGCTTATCAACCAAATGAGAACCAATGAACCCAGCTCCTCCAGAAATCAAGATCCTCATATTGGACTACACAAACAAACAATAAAAAGTAAACACCTTTAGACTCATAAAACTTACATAATCATCCTTCAATCACATCCAAACTAATTCAACCGCAAGATCTGATTATGTAAAATCTCTATAAAACCAACAATGATACAAAAATTCTCACACAATGTAGCCAGCAAAAAGGGTCAGATCTAAATGGCATTCGATTTCAAGGAATCTTCATTACAATGTCAAAGAGATCAAGTCATTACATAATGGTCTCGATCGCATCTTAATGAAATTACAAAGTTTGTACCTGACAAAACTTGGAATTGCGGAGAGGAGAAGGAGAAGGAGGAGGCTTTGTGCTGTTCTGTTTCTCACTTGTAGCTGCCATTGCTTCAGAGATCTCAATCCTGACAAAACACGCATTAAATGAGATTGAAATTGGCAGAGTTAAAAAAAAAAAAAAAAAACGAAACTTTGTGAAAATTTCGATTAAGATTTACCAGAAGCTTCGGGGAATGGAAGAAGACAAGATTTAGAACCAAAATCTTCTGATCTGATGAGAAGATGAAGACAAGGAGAGATCGTCTACTTATAGTCCCAGGTGTCTGAACTTCATCTAAACAAATAACCAAATTTAACATTTTTTATTTATTTCTTTCTGTTTAATTAAAGGAATTACAGAAATAATTTAATTTTAGTTAAGAGACTTCAAAAACACGAAATGCGGAAATTAACAAAATAGAAATTGACGTTAGCTACTAAATCACGACAACGTTTGACCTAACAAATATCTTAAGTGGCAATTTTATTTACTTTTTTTTGCAGATTTTTGTTTTCCTTCTTCACAGTTTTACAGCTAAAATTTTGACTTATTTTTCAAGGACTCCAAGAGATAATTACATGACGTGGATTAAGGTAGACATATTTCTTTTTTTTCTTTTTTATCTGTAACCAAATTCTGTTTTTTCGTATATATGTGTTTAGTTTTAGTTGCATCTACCTCTATAAAACTTTTGAAATTTTTTACATCTATTATTTAAGTATCTATTAATTTGCTATATAACTTGATACTACGATTTACATAATGATAATACTAAACAAGTCAACAACTTCTCAATCACTTTGTTCACAATCAATCATTCACCATCAACCATCCTACCATGTACTATCCACCATCGTCCCCAAAACTCATCATCTACCATCCACAAATCCACCAGCCACCATATTTAGTTTTCATGAGATTTTTTTTGAAACATGAGTTATAATCACTTAATTAAATTGTTTTTTGGAATAATTAATTTTAAAAACAAACAATAATCAAACATCCGGGAAAAAACACATTATTAAAGATGTACAATATTGTGAAGATATAATTTTTTTTAAGAGATATCCTATCAACAAACTCAATTGTTCAAATTGAGTAAGGGTTACTTTTTGTTAACACCAACCAAACTAGAAGTATGACTTACGTTTTATCAACATAAAGCACATGATTTCAATTTCCCAACCCATAATTGGATCATTGTTAACCCTACATTGGCTTTATTGACTGAAGAAAAAGAAGAAGCTACATTTCTTTTGTAAAATGAACACGTATATATCTTTAGATTATCTACCAAGAACTTACAAAAAGAAGAAGCTACATTGGCTTTTTTACCCACAATAACATCCCAAATTAGATAGTAAGATTTTGTAAGTTCTTAGTTACTTCTTCTACCAAGAAAATGAAGACCTCCGGATAAGTCATCACTCATCAAGCTCATATAAACCAAAGGTTCTCTCCAGTTAGCGAATCAAACATTGCATTGTTGTAAGAATTGATAACTTCTCACCTTTTGTTTACGATGAGCTACCACCAGTGTTCTTAGATGGTAGTCAAATAAGGTATATTGTGAGTTTTAGAGGATTTCAGGCTGTACTCGTTTGCAAGGAAATTTGGCTCAAACCCATTCAAATGACATTGAAGGTGGACATCACTTTTCGATATACAAGAATGTCCCATTTTTCTTTTCAAGGAAATTTGGCTTAAACCCACTCACATTGAAGTAGACGTCACCCGGTTTTTACATTTTTTTGAATCGGAACTGCATGCGGATTTTTATTGGATAAACCGGCAGGGGTGATGGCAACGACTTGGCAAGTTACGATACATAAGGCGCAAGTTTGCGTTCAAAACAAACAAATTGTGAAGTGTAAGCAACGCAAACTCAGAGAGCAAACTATTGCTGATATAATAGGTTATGAGCAAAGAAGTATTCTTAACGAATGAAAGTTATAAATTTTAATGCCAGTTTATCAAGAACAACACTTTTCTCAACCAAACACTTTTCAGAACACTCTGGTTCTCGAACGCGACAAAAAGAGATGTAAACCGAGTCATAACAAGTTGCGTTTGGACAGTTTTGAAGGGTTTCAGATAGGAATATGAAGAGCATTTGATGAAACTCCGGAGACCTCAGAGGTGTGAAGTTGGAAGTTGTTCACAACATTTCTTGAGACTTTCTGACACAGCGGCTCACTTTCTTCTTGAACTCGTCTCTCTTCTCCCGCCATTCTTTCTGCGCAAGAGAACACACACAAAATTCATAAGCATGCTCTGCTCTTGATTGCAAGATATGTGCATTGAAATCGATTGAAATACTCACGGCAGCTTCAACATTTGCTGGAGACTCATCGTTGGGACCAGAAAGCATCGATATGATACTCAACATAATACTTTCAACCTGAAACACCAGAATTTGAGACATGAAACAAATCACCTAGAGAACCATTTAGAGTGTGAGAAGTATAGTAACTCTAATCATAGAACCTAGTAATCTACTACTCTGAAGCAAAACACTGACATGTTATGCAAACAAAAATGAACAAACACAAATTTATTTAACATACAGTATGAACAGGGGTCCAGCGCTCGCTTGCAAGCTCATAACCGCTAGGATCATCACCGGGAGGATGAAGAATAGATATGCAAACACGACCATCAGAATAAACTGCAGGACAGATATAAGTAAAACCATTCAAGAAAAGGACTGATAACAAATAAAAAAAATGTCTGTCTTCTATTCAAATTCCTTCGAATCCTTTCTCGATTAAAACCGATATAGAGAAAACTAACCGTTAGGATGCCACATATCCGAAGTAAACCTCACGGTTGGCGGGCTATTCGGATAGTTTTGCGGAAATGTCATAATAGCGTTAAAGAATCCTCCTTCACTGCATTTTCACCAAGGTTTAAACCATATGCACAACAAGTAAAATCTTTTTGGCAACTATCATAAAAAGAGCATTGCAGATAAGGGTAATTTCAACGAGAGCAATTCAATATATCACTATCTGAACTATATAAGAACAAACCTAAATCAAGAATCAAAAATATCCGATACAAGCAAAGAGAAAAACAGATAAAGAATACAAGAATCCCACAATTATGTGATCTAAAATGTTCAATCTAAAGCAATAACAATTACACATGAATCATTGAATCCAATGAAAAAAAAAAAAAACTGTTCCACAAGAATCAAGAATCAGAAAACTAGCTAGATATCTGCAAGAGAGCAATAAGGAAGAGCGTTTACTAGAGAGTATCAGGAGGTCCGATAATGGTAACGCTCCATTCGAATATATTCTTATCATCAACGAGACCAGCAGAGAATCCATCAACAGGATGCTTACAGAGATCTGAATCAAGAAGACAACAAAAAATCGGATTTAGAGAAGAAAATAACAATCACAAGATTGATTCAGAAAAGGAAAAAGATTCAAGGGCTTGCCTTTAAGTTGTTTCTGAAGGAGAAGGCTAGCTTGCGAAGCCATGGATGATGATGATAGAGAAATCGAGAATTGAAATTGAGATTTTTTATATGACAAGCTTTTCTGATTTTGTGAATTTTCGGGAATCGATGTTTTCATTATGAGTACACATGGAAGGAGCTGGAATCTGCTACGGGCATACCTATTATCTACTTTACTGTTCTAACCAATAGGGTTTTGAGACTTTTCCACTTTCCGTTAACTTACTAAAATTCTTAACGACGCTCTATAGTTAAACCGGATTTGATTTAGTTTCACAGATTTTCGGTTCAGTTTCGGTTTATCAAAAAAATCAAAATTCACATACTCTTTATTTTTTGTGTCTGCTCTCAATTGTATGTGACCAGAAGGTTCATAATATATCACATGCAAGACAAAATCAAATCCAAATTTTTTGAAATGATAACCAATTTTGTTGTGCACCTATTTTTTTGCCGACGTTTTGCACCTAATTATGATTCACATATATCAAATAAATATATTAAAACTCAGGTGTTTTTGTCATTCATAAACTCACACAATATTAGTTTGGAACTCTTTGTCTAGGTGTTGCCAATGTTATGTCGATAAAATGATACTACTTCATAATTATATCAAACCGGAACTAAATTAAACCGAGCTAATTGGGTACATCTACCCTAACAGATACATGGATCGGGATCATTTCCATCAAAGATTTATATTTTTATTAATATAAGTCATTAAGAAATTATATCTAGACATAAATTTCGATTCTTTTGGATAATAATTGAGATCAAATCCAGTTGCCATCATGAGTGATCCAGAGTTTCTGTATAAATGGGACATAACTAAAGCACGTTAATCATTTTCATTATATTGTCGTGACCCGTAAATTACAAAATCACGACAAATACATATAATGAATTAAAAACTTTAATCCAAGTTATAAGGATTGTCTTGTCGACATATATAGTGCAAACTGCAAACCAATCACAAGACACACACAACACAATTGATAATAAAACCAAGTGGTATAAAACTAATAAAACCAATCAAAGCACTTCACTCAGAGATTCAATCGAAAGAACTCTATGGAATCCTTCATGATATTCTCTATCTCTCTTTAGATTTCGAGGAAATCAGTTTTAGATTTGTGTCAAGAGACAAAAATGTTAGAGCTATCTCTCTCGCTAAAGAAGCTTTAGCCTCTATGTGTATTTCCTAATTTCGTTTAATGAAATCTTTTGTTCAAAAAAAAAAAAAAAAAAAAAAAAAACTTTACTTTTATTGATCGAGATCGAAAGTTCCGAGAGGATACAATCTAAAGAAATGGTTTGGTAATGCGAGCAGTACTTAGGTGCTGTTCGTTTCTCCATTGAGATGGATCATCCAAATGAAGATGAAAAATGATGTTCTTTTTTGACCATTTAACAGATCATTGAGATGAATCAGTTGAATGAACTTTACTAAACTCATCCAAAAATTTTGAAAATTTTGACTGAGTCTGATTGGTGCAGTCAGCTGGAGATGGTTCAGCCAAATTTTGGAAATGTCAAAAATACCCCTAATGAAACTCAACAATTACACATCGATTTTCTTCTCTTCTCTCGGCGACGACAAGCTCTGTTCTCTCTCACACGTCATTTTGATCTCTCTCGGCGATGAAGCTCTCTCTCGGCGGACGAAGCTCTCTCTCGCTTCGATTTCTCTCTCGACTCCTTCTCCTGGTTAGTTCTCTCTCACAGATTCGTTGTGTCATAGTCTCGTCGATTTTGTTCTCTCAGTCTTGATGCAACTTCATCTCTTTGTTCTTCGCTTTCGTTATTGTTGATTCTGCATATGCTTCCTTTGATTTCACCTTGTGGGTTTGTCCAAATTTCACTTGTTTTGTTCTTATTGTTGATGCCAACCAAGTGTTTGATGAAATGCCTCACAAAATCAGTGGTTGGTTTGTTTTTGGTAGAGCTTGTAATTACTTGTGTCCTGTTTATTTTTGGATATGTATGCTGCTTGGTGTTTATGAGCCACAATAGACTATTCTTAATTCTGCTAAGTGTGTGTTCTCTAATGTTTATGAACGTTAATTCAATAAATACAAGCTAATCTGGAGCATTAGAGTGTTATAGAACTCAAATGGTTGATACTGGATTTTAGATTACTTGTTGATTATGTGTCTGCGTCGGTTATGAAAGCTTTGGTTGCTTTAGTTTAATTTGCTTCTTGATAAAATATAGTTTAGTCGTTGCTTTTTCTGTACCTTTTTCTTTTCTTGTTATGTCTTCTTCTTCTTTCTTCTCAAGAGAATATATGATCTCTTGAAGCTTAAAACCCTATAAAACCTAAGCTCAATTTGTATGAGAATGGAATCTTAGCATTGTTTAAGCTTATGGTTGGATTGTTCTAAAGCCTTTACAGATTCTTAAACTCTTTTGTCATTTATTCACTTTATTGGAGACAGTCTATAAAATGTGTATTGTTGTTTGTCATTGGTAGATTGTTCTAAAACATGAACAATAACTTCAGGTTTCTTCTTTTGTTCTGGTTTTGTGGTGTAGGCCTTAGATGTGTTTATCTTATATCTTTCCCTTTGTGTTCGTTATCTTATAGATCTATTGCTAGTTTAACTTTTCTCCTCATTTCCCACTGTTTGCTAGTTTAAATTTGCTTTAAAGACGATGCAACAAGGTCAGGAGAAGAAGGTTGGTTTCTTATTGTTTTCTTTGATCCCTTTTTTTCTTATTGTTACATAATTTTATCCGAGATTCACAGCAAGAAGATAGTGATTTTAAACATTGGGAAATGGTGGAATCATATGAGCAGCATGGTGATGAAAATGATGGGCATGTTCCATATGTACCTTCTGGTGACAGAATTATGGAGGCTATGCGGGATCCTGTTAAATCTCTTTTGGTTCAATAAGATTGGTACTTTAGCTGAGTTTTGGTAGGGATTTTCTGTGAGAATTTCTGTGTTGAATTGGTGTCAACTTTAAGAATCGTATGAAGTCTGTTGCAGATGTTGCAGGTTGATCTTAAGGCTGAGGCAGAGAAGACTGATGGTGGTGTTGGAACTGGTAACCAGAATAAGGTATGTCATTATTCGTATAATCTCTACTTGTTCTTCAATAGTAATTGGTTCTCTGTTCAATCAAATCATTGTTTGTACTGATAGGTTTAGTAAATGCACCAAAAGTAGTGGTAATGAATTTATCTTTGGTTATGACAAAAAAGTTTAGCTTCTGGGATCTTGCTTAGCCTCTTGAACTTTAAGGCTATTGAAATTGCTTTGTTTTGTCATGGTGATGATTGTGTGACGATTGCTTTGTTTTTGTTTCAGAATTTGAAGACTTTGACAAAGGAGATGCTCTATATGAGGCTCGGGTTGTATTGTTATTAAGATTTTTGAAGTTTATGTTTGGTAATGATGTTGGCTCTTCGTTAATTGTCATAACATATGTTTTGGTTCTTATAAAAAAATCAATTTCATGAAAATGGAAATTTATAAAGGTCAAATATAATAATTTGAAATTTGTTTGGTTGTAAAATATATTTGATCAATAATTAAAATTAATATAGTTAAGATTAAAAATTAAAATATAATTAGATGAAAACATGGGCATTTTAGTCATTTTTCTAATCAAAAACATCTAGATGAGAATGGTTCTCAACCAAACAAACAAAGTTTTAACCAAAAGCAGTTAGATGGATCATCCAGATGAACCACCAAAAATGAAAACGAACATCATTCAGATGGATTAGCCAAATAGATCATTTGGATGAAGCATTTAGATGCATATCCCAAATGAGCAAACGAACAGCCCCTTAAACGGTAATTCCCTGACCAGGAAAATGAGACCGACAAGCTTTGCCGGTGAAAATTAAAAAAAAATCCACACGAGACATACAAAATTTACAAATATATAAGATATATCGTGGTGGATTTTTTAAAAGATTTCGTGGTGGTTATAATGACACCTAAATGATGATGACAAATAATAAGCTTAAGTACTAAAATTGAAATGAAGGCCGCAGAATTTCGCCGACGTATATTAGTAGAGTTGTTCTCAAGTTAGTACATACACGAAGCATTTAAATTTAAACCAGGTTTAATTTCTCGGTTTTTTCTGTTGGTCCACATATGAGGCTCATGGCAAACAATTTAAAATATAATTAGGTTCTAGATACCAAGAAAGTATGGACTAATATTATGCAATCAATATAGACTGACCAACAAGGTAACAAAGATCAACTACAGTATATGATATGTCGGTTTGGAAACATACCGGAAATGAATATCGGATTGTCAAGTAGGCCGGAAAAACAGAGGCATTCAAGCTGGTATGCACATAATGGAAAATATAAGAAATATGGAGGAAGTTGTAATGCTTTATTCTATTTCTACAGACATTCTAATTTCTAAGTGGAAATTTCATGGCATAGGATTCCAAGAAATGACATTTTAACCAGAGAATCTTACCTGGTTTCTTCAAGCTAAGTAATCATTACGGTTCTCTAAGGAGAGTACCAACTAGATGTGACAAAATTGTTGTATTCTGCTTGTTACACTTCCAATATATATATGATGATCCTATAAGAAAACAATTATATAGCTAATTCTCTACCTAAGAAATATGAGAAGACATGATATCATCATAAAGCTTCTCCTTCTCATCTGTCTCCTTCTCAGCAGAATCGTGACTCGGGAATGTCGAGAAGGTAATCTCATTACTTATGTGTGTATGTGTTTAGCTTGCTTGAATTACGACATAGAGATGATATTAAAAATGTGTTGAAAATTGAGGGCATGGTTCTTTGCACTTTTACATACTTTCCCCTGTCTTTTGCTTGTATAAGTCCATTTCAAGATTGGACTTCCAAAGATCATCACAAAACCGAATTACGAAAGAGTGATGCCAACTTGGGTAAGGAGATCAAAATTTGCATATATATATATACCCATTAAATAACAAAGAGAGTATAATAGTAACATATTTCTTATATAGGTCGAAGGAAAAAAGTGGCATAAGCACCCATCCGGACCTAACCCAACAGGAAATCGTCACCCACCGGTCAAACCCTGAGTCGATAACAGCGAAACTGCTGCAACCAAAAGAATCTTATAAGTCAATGCATGATGTATCTTATAAATGATGTAATAAGGAGTGAAGCAGCCTATAAGATGGAGAGTACTTAAAAGTTACAGATCCAATGTTCGTGAAACATATGTACGCTGATAAACTATCTCAATTCGATGAAATAATTACATTAGAAGAGTCTTTATAAGCATAGCCTCTGAGATGTTACCATAACAGAGCCATGTTAACAGAGCAAAAAATCTGAAATAACATTTCAATTTGAGACTGAAGAGATAAAAGTTTCTTTATTAATCATCTTATATATATTGCAGTCAATTTTTCCATTTTTAATATCGTAAATCTTCCGCTAATTTCTAGAAAACCAACATTGTCTCTCATACAGACTGTATCTTGCGACCTACGAAACGTTTAAAAAACCCTAATAAACGCCCAACTTCAGAATGCAAATCTCTAAACATGAGGCCTGAAAGTGAAACTAGAGATGAATTGAAATAGCTTTGGTAAACCTTTAACGAATACTATCATGGCCACAGGTATCGATTTCCGAAACAGAGATTGTAGAATTGCTTTGCCGGTAGATGTATCGCCGTCCCAAAAGTCCACCGGATTCAAGAAGAGACAAGAGCGTAAACTGAAGAATCCTATCGCTGAGATCTGAAACCTCTGTGGCGAGAGTTACGACTAGATTCACAGAAGCGGTGATGATGTACGGATCGGATATCCGAACGAGTAAATACGTACGTTTCAATATTTTTGCCCTATCTCGAAATTAATATTTTACTTTTTGAGTATTTGAGATTCAATTTGTTTTATATTTTAATTTGAGAAAAAATTGAATCATGTTGGTTTTATTTTCGTCAATAGTATGCATTATGTGGGTTTAAGTTTGGGTGGTTACTAATTAACAACACTATCACTTGTCATAATCAAATTAATATTGTTTGTTAGTAATTCCGTGTCATCGGTAAGTCAATAATTGGATGAGACACCATTCATCATTTTTTCTTTGTATTTGTTTTACATTTTTACCAATTTCAAATATATAATTTCAATCCAAAACTAAGAGCTTGATATTGTTGGTTATAAGACTTCACTATATGATTTTTACGTACGAATGCGTTGGACGAAAGATATAAAAAATATAAAGAGAAGATGATTAATATATAATAAGGTACCGGTACTATATATTATCATATCTTAAACATGTTAAGATATAACATAATAAAGCAAAAGATTACAGAGCGAGACAAACAAAGACATGGTAAATATCAGCTTAGATAGCCGTCTTTTATTTTAGTTATGCTAAACCATACTCTTCAGGCAATGATGTCGTAATCCCAAATTTCACTTGACGCTGCAATAATATTAAACGATCAAGAGTATAAGTTACATCACTAGAAAAGAATATGAGCACTGGTCAGAAAATTAAAAACTTACGTTGCGCAGTTAGTGCTCGTGGAGATGGGATAGGGGATGCTAACACCACACTTTCCAGGAAGGCCAGAGGCTAGACTTGGATTAACCCCTTTTGCAGCGGCCTGTAAGCACCGGCATGCTTGTTGGCGGTCCGGTGTGGTTTGAGCCATACCGTTCAACTTTTTGACTCCTGCACAGCACGGAGGTGGCACCACCCCACCTTTTGATAGGTAGCTTAGACACGGACTCAAGCTACTCGCCACTGTCCCGCATGTGATTGCTGCATCTACTGATGCAACGATGAACACCGTCAAAACAAGGCATGTGAAGAACCTCAAAGCGAAAGCCATTGTGTTTGCTTCTTTTTGGGTGTTTAGTTGAGTTTTGTTTTTTAAGCTTGTGTTTTTGTTGTTGATGAGAAAAGTGAGAGCTGATGATGGGTTTATATAGGACTTTCATATGGGAAAAAATGATGACTAAGTAGGATTTGTTAGTAGTTGGATTTGCATTAATTTCATTCATTCTCTCTAGTTTCTTCAACTACTCAAAAGAATTAGTTTCTTCAGTCATATGTAATTATGTATACAATAGTATAATTTTTCAGAATGTACAAGACCGTTACGTCAAATATTTCTATGCTGTTAAAATTTTATTTATTTATCTGCAGTTAAACTTGGTTATTTTAAATTATCATGTTTGAGCGATGTGGTTATAAGATACTAACAATAATAATATAGTTTAGCATAGTAGACAAGAGGAGATCGTTTAGAAAGTTGTATCTTCGTTGTATATAAAATGTCAGCTTTTAGTCGTACAATATGCAAATTAAATATAAATACCGTCTAATTAAATGCGATGTGCAGCTGATGGACACGTGTATTCAACACTAAACATCACAATTCTCCCATCACATTAACTAATTATGGCCACTAGAATTAGGAAAGTTCACATTTTATGACTTACTACATAATTGAATGAGAGAGAGGTCCTATATTGAGTTTTCCTCCAGATTTCGTATAATCATTAACGTAAATGTGTTTGTTAACAACAAAAAAAAAAGACTTAGCAAAATAATCTGAATGATAAAAATTTATTATAAGCGTACGCCAAAAATACGTTCTATATATAGCCTGCAGAAAGAGTTTTACGTGAATGCCACATACGATCTTAGATTATATATCTCACTATAATAGAGCGACAAAATAGTCTTTATATAATTATCCATGAAGCAATTCTAGCCTCAAGCGAGATACACGAAACCGAATTTGTCTTATGTAGTACATAGCATAGAATGCTAAATATCCCTCCATAACACATTAACACTATCGCTCTATAAGCCATAACTCATATATATAGTCACATGCAGTCTCATACATTTCTCAAAATTACAAAATTTCTTTAATTTTTGTGTTTCCTTTCTACGTACGCATGTGATGATGCTTCTCCGATGTCTTAGAGAGCTTGGGATGTGAAGGACGTTGATGTATGGTGTTGGATACTATCAGCCAAAACCCGTCAAGCAACATCGTACAAGATTGATAAATCTCCCACATGTGCAGTACTTAATATATAGTCACAATTTAACTACACAAACCTCTGCCGACACTAATGTAGCAATTATTTCATGTTATATGATCTTAAGGTATAGTGTATATATCAACATTTAATTCTGTAAAACATCATCATTTATATCCATATTATAAAATATCATTGTCGTTTAAAATAAAACTAAAAATAACCAGTGCAATTTCGTATAATCTTCATATAAAATTGCGAAAATCCTCCGTGTTCCAATTATGATGATTATTGTGAGCTTTGATTTATGGTTTTCATGTTGTAAAAAAAGCTTTTTTAAAACAGTAGAACTTTCTTAGTTTTTTCTAAGACATACACAACTGGTAACAAATATAAATTGTGCTAAAAATAAATAGGTATAGTAAAATTGTAAAAACTAAAAGCTACTGCTATACAATGTATGAAAAATATCTTAAAGCTGTTTCTACTTCTATACACATTATCGTTTTCTGTTTATAAGAGAGATTGCTTTACCTTAATATGATTTTTTTGATGCTTAATTACTATGAGATAAAACTATTCTGAAATCAATTTTTAATTAAGGACCCTGTACTAAAATAAATATAAATATTAACAATTGAGAGCAATAGAAAAATCCAGAATTTTAGAAATGCAAATGGTTGTGCAATTACAATAATAATGTATTTGAATATATATTAAAAATACTCACTAATTATCCTTTATAATTTTATCCAGAAATTTCTTGAAGAGGAAAAAACAAGTAAATGCAAGTCACATTTCACATTTCAAATTACCAACTACCAACTACAAACTACTTCCGCATCTCAAATTGAATCACTACTTTATATGCTCATCATTCTTTTCTTCATTACAATCCCTACACCAGGCTAAGAATTTTGGTATTGAAATTCTAAATACTTCATAAGAAACTGTTGGAATCATTTTTATTTTTTTTGGCTCAACATCTACTATCATTAACCAATCAAGAAACTTTTAGAATCATTTAAAAACCGTGATCATGTATCATCCGTAGAGAGAAATTTTATTCATCCTTTTATATTTAAAGTGCAATTTTTATTTTTCTTTCACTAAATCTTATGGCCATGGTTAATTAATAGCAAATGAAAGGTGGTCCAATGGAAATGGAGAATGTGATTGGGCTAGTTGGGAGAGTTCTGATGTTTAGTGTTGGGTACACGTGTTCGTCAGTTACACATTGCATTAAATTCGACGGTATTTCATTATTCAAATTTAGTTCACATAGTACGACTAATAGCTGATAAATTAATGATTATGTACGAAACCAAAATAAAATAAGTTATTTGATAATGTAATGGAGATACTATATTTTACAAAATTCATCGCAATGCTTTCGACTAATAGCTCAAGCATTATATCTTACGATAACCAAATTGTTATACTTAAAAAAAAAAAAAAAAACTAGTAAAATTTAAAATTTATAATATTTAGATATATTGGTAATCTCTAGTACTGTTTCTGCTTCTAAAAGGATTAATTTTCAAAGTTTTCACACATATTAAAACAAAATTAATACTATCCGCATAATTCTTTTATCCTAAACAATTTTCAATAATCATAAACCAATAGTAACTTAATAAATTTAATTATTTTCAAAATAATGCTTTTTGAAGTTTACAATTCATTAGTACGTAATATCTTTGTGGAACAAAAGAAAAAATTAGAAAATCATTTGTTTATAAAGCAGAGAGAGTACATAGTAAACGATGTGGTATTACTATTGACACAATCTAATTCTCTGTTTAGTAGAAGAAACTAGAAGGAATGAATGAAATAAATGCAATTCCAACTACTAACAAACCCTGCTTAGTCATCATTTTTCTCCATCTAAAATCCCTATATAAACCCATCATCACCTACCATTTTCTCACATCCACCAACAAAAACACAAGCTTATAAAGCAAAAATCAACTAATTTTGTTATCACCCAACAAGAAGAACAAACACAATGGCTTTCGCTTTGAGGTTCTTCACATGCCTTGTTTTAACCGTGTGCATAGTTGCATCAGTCGATGCTGCAATCTCATGTAGCACAGTGGCAGGTAGCTTGGCTCCATGTGTCAACTACCTATCAAAAGGTGGGTTGGTGCCACCTCCGTGTTGTGCAGGAGTCAAAAAGTTGAACGGTATGGCTCAAACCACACCAGACCGCCAACAAGCATGCCGATGCATACAGTCCACTGCGAAGAGCATTTCTGGTCTCAACCCAAGTCTAGCCTCTGGTCTTCCTGGTTTGTGCGGTGTTAGCATTCCCTATCCCATCTCCATGAGCACTAACTGCAACAAGTAAGTATTTTCTTTTTGTTTTACTTGGCCAAGTACTCGATCTAGAGAGCATGATGTATTCTTCAAATGACATAACTTATACTCTTGATCGTTTGGATTGTTGCAGCATCAAGTGAAATGGAAGCTTAAGTCATCATTTGCGTTAAGAGTATGGTTTAACATAAGTAGAATAAAAGACGGCTATATCTTAGCTGATATTACCATGTCTTTCTTGTCTCGATGCTTTGTAATCCTTTCCTTTCATATGTTGTATTGATGTGCTTAAGATATGATAAGAGTACCTTATTAGCCATCTTCTCTTTAGATGTTTCCTCCAACACATACGAACGTAATAATCATATACTCATATGTGAAGAGTTCTATATAAGTAACCAATAATATCAAGCTCCTAGTTTTGGAGTGACATTATAAAATTGATATTTATACATACGAAGAACGGAAGAAGACATGCTGATGAATGGTTTTTCTCCTTTAACCAAAAAAAAAACAAGGTTCTCTCCATATACTGTTAAGTAAAAGCTCAGCTACAATAGAAATTTTAACATTAACCAAAAAAAAAAAAAAAAAAAACAGAACTTTACGATGACCACTAACCTTCAAGATTCAATTATGCATCAATGAAAATTGTGAATCTTTTATATTTCTTTGAACAGACTAGGAATACTATACTTCCTTATTATAATTTGGACAAAACTTGAGCCTTTCGTTATTGTAATGATAGCTTCCCAATGTGTCAATATTTTGTATGTTCAGCCTCAAACATAAACGTATTAAATTTTTTTTTCTCCCAAGCAAGATGATATCAGTGAGTTCAGTATTAATATATAAAGTTACTAATTGCTAATTCTGCGTGTGTGTCAAGTAACTAATATCCTATACTAATATTTGGGAAGTACATCCTAAGGATCATAACTTAGATTTTGTAAGAAATTACAATATATGCCATTATATAATTCTAATCATAAAATTTATTCCATGTCACTAATATATATAAACGGGTCAACGGGTCAACGGATTTAAAAATATTAAAAGATTTTGTTTATATAATACATAATTAATATAATTCGAGAATGTTATATACTAATCTATATTCGAGATTATATAATACATAAAAATATTATATAATACATAAAAGATTTTGTTTATATAATACATAAAAATGTTATATACTAATATACTAATATATTATTCGAAAATGTTATTCAAAATGTTATATAGTAATCCATTATTCGAACATCTTATAAAAAATGTCATTAAAAATGTTAATGAAAATGATATATCATTGAAAACATTTTATATCAATCCAATTTATAAAAAATAAAAAATGCTATTTTGAATTATAATACTCATATAGTTCGAAAATGTTATATAAATTGAAAATGTTATATAATTCTCCATTTTTTGAAAATGTTACTAAAAATTGAAAATGTGTCTACGTTCTTATATCTAAACAAAATTTATTTTCAACTAATCTATGCCATTATGACCCGTGCATCCTATAAGTCATAACGTTGATTTTGTAAGAAATTACAATATATGCCATTAGAGATTTCTAATCAT